AAAGGGCAAGAAATTTGACTTTTGTTACCTCATTGTTTGACGGTTAAAGACAAAAGAAATAAGAGTTAATGAAATATGAACTTGACAACAAGATAATAGATCATATTATCCCTCTAAAACCAGATTACACATGTCATTTCCTCGCACCCTGGGCTGATGGCCTCCTCAGGCACGCTGAAACAGGTCTGGCCTGGGACCTGAATGTGAGACTCCTCAAAGTCCTTGTGGCTGCGGGCATCCATGACGATTATTGTGATCGTCTGGTCCTTCATCATGTGGAAAAGCCGCTCAGCTGAAATCCCGCCAGCTGGCACTGCAGCTACCAGATAAAGTCATGCAATCATCACACAAAACTATAGAATTTCGTAGTTCCTTGAATGATTTTACCCTCGGAACTTCATAGGGTCATCACAGTTCTTTGTGTTATTCTACTTACCTTTTGAAGGTGCATTCTTGAGTTCATTTTGTTGTCCTTTCACCTGAAATACACACACCAAAATTATGTTGTTAAAATGTTAATTTGTTTCTAATATAAAATAAGCCAATTATAAAACATGATTACTTACAATTACACTTATATAGGTCTTGTATAGTAGTGTTGCTGTTATAACGTGAACTTAGGTTAGAAAACTGTGAATTCAGGCAGTGTATGAGTGAGTTTGTTTGAAAACGCAGAAACCATCACTACCTTCTTGCTGTCCTTCTTGCTTACTGAGGACACTTTGGGAGAGCTTCGACCACCATCTTTCTCTGTTATTTGCTCCCTCCTTTTCTTCTCCTCTTGTCTCTCCATTTCCTCGAGTTTTTTTCTAACCTCAACTTCCTCATACCTGTTCAAATGTAAACATAAACACTAAGTTAGAAAGAACTCCCACCTTACTGCTTATGGGTTATTAACATTGCAACGATGTAAGACGAGTCCAACCTGAGTTTAAGGCTTTTAGAGAGCCTCTCGGCTTCTTCAATGGCTTTCTTAAAGCTGTTTGGCCCAAGTATGGTCATGTAATACTCCTTTGATAAAAAGGAATAGAGAAGAATCATATAGCATTAAACAATTCTTAATACATTTCCACAGCAAGACGCTACAGAAAGAATACAGAAGAAATACACAATTTGATAACTATCGGGTATACCAGTTGTTGCTTGAAGTCTGGTCTTTCCTTGATAATTTCATAAACTGTTAAATACTTCATGTACAGCACATAAGCTTTCTCCTCATCTCTGTCCAGACGACACTCCTCTGCCGCCTTGAAGATTTTGCAGGAACTCTGAACATAGCTGCAACAGCAATAAAAAAAAACAATTAACAATTTCATTGCTATTATTGTAAAACCCTTAATTTGACCTGGGGGGCTTTTTTTGGTATGCTGACAGCATCTCTTCTCCTTCACCTAAGGACAGTCTGTGTGGTTTCACTGTATGACTTATTGGGTTTAGGGCAGTAAACAAACACACACGTGACGTCACCTTCTGGTGTTGGTCTTGTCCGGCTTGATCTCAGCCTTTCTGTTGAGTTCACTCAGAGACGAGGACAGGTAGAGCTCTTTGACCCCGGTGGACACGGCGGGCATCTCTGCGGCGGTGCTCGGTCAGCGCTGCAGACACGACGCGGACATCCCTGCGGGACACAAACGGGACACACATTAAACACACGCGGTCGTCGCAACACCCAACGAGCTCGTCTCTTCCCCAAAGTGTTTTTTTTTCAATACGGAGAATAGAAAGCGTGGATTTAGTATCACAATTGCCGTTTCATTGCAATAATATGAGCGGGGTTGCAGTCGGGTAAACACACGGAGTGCTCACTTGTTGTTGTCGTGTATCTGTCATGAAGCATTTAAAAATGGCCACAATTAGTCAGGTCGGAAAGACGAGTTGTTGCCGATCCTTTACACCAGCTCTCCCATGTTATAGCTCTCACTGTTCGCATTAGCTGACTTCTTGTGGCGGCACGTGATGTGTCAACATTGACGACGACAACAACAACAACAATAACAACACCGGATGCCTGTTGGTCAGCCGACGGAAACCACTAATGCTGTTGTTTACGTAGATCCAACGTCAACCATTGCTTTTATATACACACAAGTTAGCTCGCTAGTTAAACGTAGTCCTAGCTTTGTTGCCCTCCGCGCTAAAGTCAGCTAACGTTAGCTAGCGGTGACGTCAGTTAGCGAGCTGCGCTCACAGCTCGCGCAGTTAGCTCAGCTAAAGTTGTCGGCTATGAAAGAAGCTAACGTCGGCAACGCAGGCAGCCACAGCTACAACCACATTGGGCAGTAAAGAGACACACTCTGGTAATAATGACAATACAGACGTTCTGGCTGACGGTTGGATATAGATGACACTGGTAATTTTAAAAGTACCTCTTCGTTTGCTTACACTTTGGCTAACTTCTTTGACAGCTGATTTCTTGTTCCGCCTCCTCCTCGTCTCTTCTTCTTCTTCTTCTTCTTCTTCTTCTCGTTCTTCTTCTTCTCTGTCGTTCTGCGGCAGCTGGTGTCCTTAATGTTGCCGTGCTGCCACCTCCCGGAGCGAATCCTTCTGCTTCACTGTCCACTTTTTCTCGTCCTTCACCGCCGGCTCAGTACTTCCAACTATCACAATCTCCAGGATCCTTTTTATTCGTGTATAATAGCCGTGGTTTTGTCAGTGAACATGCCCTGTGTGTCAATGTCGTCACAGGAATTTTTCAGATTCCTTACATTGTTCTCAAAACCGGTCTGGTGTGTCTGTGTGTTGTGATCAGTGTGCTTTGTCCTTGTGTTAATCATATCGTATCTTACTTTGACCTAAAGTCTACAGTCAAGCTGAGCTCTACCGACTAGTAACCGAATGTGTATACTTTTGTATTCTCTTGCTTCCTCTGAATCGGTTCCAAGCTCAGTTATGATTTCTTTCCCGTCTTCTACACACACACTTCCCTTTACCACATTACCAATCTAAAGTGCTATTGAGCAACTCCAGTCTCACTGCCTAAGCATGACCTTTGGTATTTGCAGAGTAGACCAAAACAAAGTTAAACAACCAACACAAGTCAGAGCTGAGTTTTGTGTTGTTTGGTCAGTCTTATGTGGTCCACACAGTGGAGTACTATGAAGTGACGTATACTTTAGGGCCATCAATGCAAGGATACAAGCAAGTGTGAATGTTCATAAAAAAGACACTTCTGGTCCTGTTCGTGGAACATCGTAGCATAAAAAGAGTCATAAATGTTTCCTGGTCCATTGCATATACACCAACAGAGTTTTGGTATTTGTTTGCTTGAGTTTGTTTATTTGTTTTTTAAAGCAGAAATCAACCGGTTATTTTTTATTATATTGAACAATCACACACATCCGCAGGTCAGCTTTCCAGAAGGTTTACGACCTGTCTGATCTGCCGGCCACAGGCCAAAGGCCAAAGGCAACTCAGTAATGAGGGACGAGCAAATGTTTGCCCCGTAAATATCCACTCTCAGGTTTATACTGCTGGTCTTAATACAAAGTCTGAAACCTGAGGTGAGTCATAACACAGCAAAATTGCAGTCCCTGTAAAGAAATATTTTCAAACCCACGCTTAGTTTTTTCCCCTCTATTCACAGAAAGTCTCATTATTGGCCTGTGTAGTTTCTGCCCCTACTAATGTCAAACCAAACAAAGTGGCCAAATCCAATCTATATGAATTGTGTCTGACTTTGGGTTTGAAATGTCAAGTCCATGGTTTTTATTTCTATTTTAATAAAAACAAACAATATGGTCCATGAGGATGCACTTTGACTTTGATGTCATGACACCAATTACGCAATTATGGTTAAGCCTGCTTTCATCAGGGTCAGACTCCCAGACTGAGGAACATAAAGAGCACAATGGTCCCAGTGTGTTCCGCTCTATATCCCTTATCACTTATGTGCGTGGATTGCACCACACACACACTATGCATTAATTATTCTTATTGCCTGCTACCGGACTCAGTGCCTTCAGTCGGATCAAAAGTCTGTGGAGCAGCTATTTCTCATATTCAAAGAACACGTTGGTCATTCAGACAACCTGTATGAACAAACAAAGTTCCGTGGTGAAAAGTGTCTGGTGAAAATAGTGAAATGCTAAATAAAAAAATGGACATATGACATTAAACAAATATTAAACAATATGTATTTACAGATTTTGATGGTGACAACGGAGGTGCCCGATCCACATTTGAATCCAGCAGGATTTTACTCTTTTCAATCCGTGGAGAACCGCGTGAAGGCTTCCACATGTGACCACAATGTACAGTCAACAGCACAGTGTGTGAACAGTCCAGGTGCAGCACGACGTTAACCGGGGGGACTTCTTATCCTCCCATCTCTTCGTTTTCTGCGTGTTCATTCATTGTCCATTTCTTTGTGCGTTCGCTAAATGTCCTTATTTACCTTTCTGTTTGCCCATGAACAATCATCACTCAATACAAATATTGATTTGCTTTTAAACTCTTCTCTAATGCGTTCAAGGCGGATGAGTGAAAAGGGCCCTGTTGTAATGTATGTTGTGTGTACAGTAAATACAATAAATCTCTTGAGGAAAAGAAAACAACGTAGTTGTATTTCCCTAAATATTTGATTGATAGCTCTAGACCGATATCACTTCTGACCTTTTCCAACTATTTATTATACACACCTGTTTTAGGCCCCGTGAGGTCACATTATGAATGGATGTATTACTTCTTTAGGGATAAGGAGGATGAGAAGTCTAAGATTTAACGCTTAACATCTTGCAGGGGGCCGTTACTCCAGGTTGTAAAACATCCAAACGGTGTATGAAACCAGCTCCACCTCAACCTCAGTAAATTAATACATGCATATGATGCATTGGTGAGACTTTTTCTTTGCAAAACATAATGATTTTTTACTATATTACAAAATACTTGATAACTGGGCATTTGTCTTTGATTCAGGTTTTTATGGTCAAGATATCGTAATTAACTGAAAGAAATCGGTAAAATGTATGTATATGTACAGTATATACATATTTATTTTTTAAGATACACGAGAAGTTTCTATCTATACAGAATTTGTTATAGCATCTAAATAATTACACTGTGACATTTTTTTGGTGTAAAGATTTATTCCAGGTGAAGACGGATTGATGTGTGTTGCAAAATGTTATCTTAACAATCAATTTTACCATTGCTGGTATTGTCCATCACGTTATACAGAGCATTGTGTGACTTTGATGTGAATGAATCATTACATGCAGTGGTGGGTAAATATTTAGTGGAAATGTGGAGTCATTGACTCCAATGATAGAAAGAAAATGTGATGGCCATTTGCTTAGTGCCTGAAATGCGTCACCAATGTTGGGCGTGTTCTTCACAATACGGTCCTTATAGTCCTGAGCTCTGCTACAGAATAGCCAAAGCATCATTCCAGCCAAAAGTTACCCAAAGAGCTCTCATCTGAAGGAAAAAAATGCAGGCTGAGGAATACAATCGCAGAGGTAATGGTAGCTTCCCTTTTGCCGCATTGAATTATTTTGCCTGCTGTTTTCCAGCTGTGTCTGTTACTGCTTTAGGTAAGGAGCTGGTGGACTACATCACACAGTACCTGGGCTCCATCAGGGAGAGGAGGGTGATTCCAGACGTGAAGCCAGGTTACATGAAGGAGCTTCTCCCTGACACCGCGCCTACGGAGCCGGAGGACTGGGAGAGTATCTTTAAGGACATAGAGAGAGTCATCATGCCAGGGGTGAGTTCCTCGTGTCGCCCGCTATCACATCAACAATTTGAAACTACGTAGAGGAAGCAAGTATTTCCTCTTGTTATGCCGCAGGTGGTTCACTGGCAGAGCCCTCACATGCACGCCTACTACCCCAGTCTGACTTCATGGCCCTCTATGCTCGGGGACATGCTGGCCGACGCCATCAACTGTGTTGGATTCACCTGGGTACACTTCGTCTTCGCTATTGCATGTCCTAAAAAAACACACATCACAACAATGAGGTCGTTTCCTGATAGATGATGTGTTTGTGCTGGTATTGAACAGGCCTCCAGCCCAGCATGTACAGAACTGGAAATGAATGTGATGGACTGGTTGTGTAAAGCCCTGGGGCTCCCGTCCTTCTTCCTGCATTACCATCCAGACAGCAGAGGCGGAGGCATCCTGCAGGTTTGCATCATCCTCGATCTGTTTGTCTTAGAACTCAAACCGTAATCGTCTGTGATCATTGCTCTTTTCTCGCTTGCGCTCGTGTTAGAGCACGGTCAGTGAGAGTACGCTGGTGGCTCTGCTCGCTGCCAGGAAAGACAAAATGTTGCAGCTGCGGCCTGAGCTGGAGCAGGACGTGGACGACTCGGTCCTGAATTCAAGACTGGTGGCGTACGCTTCAGATCAGGTCGGTGTTGACGGTTCTTCTACAGCGACTTCCTGTCAATCGGATGAATGAAACTGAGGATTGCACCTGATGCGCTTACACAGGCTCACTCCTCGGTAGAGAAGGCGGGTCTGATATCTCTGGTGAAGATCAGGTTTCTGCCCACTGATGAGCAGTTGTCTCTGAGAGGAGACACTTTAAAACAAGCCATACAAGAAGACAGGCGGAGGGGACTGGTCCCTTTCATGGTAGGTATCTGACACGTGTTTAGGTGGAAAACATACAGACCATATATATTTATTTTGGGGGGTCTAATATTTAACCCTGAAAAGATCAAATTAGACAACTGCCAGAAAAAGTTCTAAATTGTTTGGTTACAAGAACGTTGTATTCTTTTTTTTTTGTAGCTTTTTTTTTTTTTTGTCGTTTTTTTTTTAATGTGGTAATTTAAATATGATTTTGCCTGAATATATAATGATATAAATAATCAGTGTTATTAATAAGATTCAATTGTACAATATGGCACAAAGGGCTTTTTTTTTTAAAGAAATTGACCTCTACTAAAATACCTAAATTAAATGTCAAAACTCACATGTCGTAATTCTTTTCTCCCTTGTCCAGCTGTGCGTCACTCTGGGAACTACAGGAGTGTGTGCCTTTGACAACCTGCCTGAGCTGGGACCCGTCTGTACGTCTTCAAATTCCCTCCCAACAACATCTGTTAATACACTGGCCGTAAAGTGGAACGTTGTGTCGCTGCATTGAGATGCATTCAGAGGATTATCGTACTTGTTTTCAGGTGCAGAAGAGGGACTGTGGCTCCATGTCGATGCTGCGTACGCTGGATCAGCCTACTTCTGTCCGGAGCTCCGTTGGTCCCTGGAGGGAATTGAGTTCGCTGACTCTTTTGTTTTCAACCCGTCAAAGTGGATGATGGTCCATTTTGACTGCACAGCTTTCTGGTGAGTGAGAAGACTGAACCAGATTTGATCAATGAAGTTTTGTGGTTGTAAACATGATTTTATTTGGTTTTCTCAGGGTCAAGGATAAATACAAGCTCCAACAGACGTTCACTGTTGATCCAGTTTACCTTAGACATGAAAACTCCCATGCAGCCACAGACTTCATGGTATGATCATGTCCCTTTTGAAACCAATCAAAGAATGAATTGTGGTAGTAAATCATTTACGGCATTGAAATAGCTTTTTTCTGTGGTTCAGCATTGGCAAATTCCCCTCAGCCGGCGCTTCCGTTCCCTCAAGCTCTGGTTTGTGATGCGTTCTTTCGGGCTGAAAAACCTCCAGGCTCATATCAGGCATGTAAGTGGCTATCAGTTCCCTTCATGCAAAGAATGTAAGGAATTTGTCAGAGACTCGTTTTATGTTTCACAATTGTATGTTTATTTGGTCTCTCCAGGGGATTGAGATGGCAAAGCTCTTGGAGTCTCACATAAAGAGCGAGCCACATTTTGAGGTTCCGGCTAAGAGGCACCTCGGCTTGGTGGTTTTCTGTCTGAAGGTACAAACTCGACTGCACAGGAACACAATCTTTTACTGACTAATTATTGCCAAAGGTGAATTACTGAATAGTAAGTAAGTAAATATCAGAGGAAAGCAAGAGATCAATGAGAAGAGCTTAAAGATTCAAGACTCAAAGTTGCTGAAAACACATGATTGTCATATTTTGTTTTATTCCAGGCAGGAAACGCTTTGACCCAGGAGCTGCTGAGGAGACTGACCCGGTCGGGCACCATGTACCTCATCCCTGCAGACATTCACACAAAGCGCATCATCCGGTTCACGGTGACCTCGCAGTTCAGCACCGCGGAGGACATCCTCAAGGACTGGAGCGTCATCTCCAAAACGGCTTCCGCTCTTCTAGCTGAGACACAGGCTGTGAGTAACGCAGACCAACCAAAATCGCAGAACGATGACGTGATACAAGAAAACCACCACGGTGACTCAGGCACCAGGTCTGAGGAGAGAGAGGATGCCGTCTCCAGGCTGGACAAGGCCGAGGTGGAGCTGTGGATTGACAAGGCTTGGATTCGACCTCGGAGACCGATGCGATCTCTCAGCTGCAGCAGCGAGCCTCTGCCTTACACTTGCCTCGGTCCGCTGTCCGGCTATGACTTTGAAAGGAGGCCTAGTCTGAAAGATGCAACAGGCGGACCCCCAAATGGATCGTCAACGGCCGGATCCGGTCCCGTGTATAAGATCAGGGAGATGCCTTCAAATCGTCTTGTTAAACAGGACCTGAAAAAGCTGACAAAGTTCTACAGCGTTCCTAGTTTCTGCAACCAGTGGGTGCAGTGTGCCCGGCACCAGCCCTGCTGCCCTGCGAAGGTTTCACAGGCCACTCAAAAACACTCGTCCTCCACCTGCAGACGAACAAACTGTATGTGTTCCGCAGCTCCCTCTCCTACTCCACTGGAAACTGCCTCTGCCCCAAAGCTTCAGGAATGACCTTGAAGCAGTGAAGAGTAGTTGATACTCGCACAGTACGATAATTTACTTCAACAGCTGTGTTGGTGCCGGGCCTCTTGGAAATGTTCTGATCATTCTGTGTCCGTGACTTGGGATCGCTTAACTGATTTACAATCATGTTTTTTATCCTGTGAAATATTTCAGTACACAATATTCCGTAGCTTATATTAGTAGTTTGTGAAGCGTGCTATACATAAATGCTCATTCTGCAGGTAATATATTCATTTTGCAGCCTCTCTCATTTAAATCAAATGTACCATTTGGAAAGTGGCAATCCAATAATAAACACCGAACTCATTCAAAGTCTGATTGTCCCCTCTGCGATGGAGCTGAATATCTCCTGAGTCATGGGTACGTAGCCCTTGCCGTCCTCCAGGTAGAACAGATGGTCCCTGATGTTGCCGGGGTTGAAGCCCTCCTCTGCAAGCTTCACCTTCATTTGCTTAAAGGTCCCAGTTACTGCCAGTTCTTCCTGGAGGAGCAAGATAAGTGGTTAAATCATTATATGATATTTCCGGTTAAATGTTATTGGGTGTGATTTGTTCACCTGTATGCGAATGAAGCGTGGCCGTGCGTAGCTCGGGAGGAAGTTCTTCACATGCTGATACAGAACTTTGCCTTCAAAGTCCATGCCTTCTTTGAGCTTCAGTGCGGCCATTCCGATTCTTCCCTCGTGACCTAATCCGCCGTGGTTAAAGTACAAAGACGACTTATTTCACGATGCGTGTATATACAGACGTTTATGTGCGTTTTATTAATGGGTAGGAGAAAGTCTCCAACAATTACAGTGGTCCAATGAGAGGCTTTTACCAAAGGGTTCTCACAAAGTTATTTCTTCATTTCGTTTTTACACTTTTTCAGATACTATTTAATGAGTACATCTTTTGTGTATCTTTTATTGTTGCCAACTATGTAACCATTACCTGGGACCTTCACGCCGTAGACGTTTGCCTCCTCAACCCAGTCCACCGTAAGTAGATGATCAGCCACCTCCGTGGTTGCCACATTTTCTCCTTTCCACCTTGTATTGGATGACAAAAAAAAGACAGGCCCAACTGAGCTGCAAGCTTTTAAATTTCAAGCCTTGGAAATTTGGGAACAGTGCCTTTAAATGTACAACTAAACAGTCAGGCAAAACCTTGTTTTTATTTGCAGAAAATGCTAAAATAATAGCTAAAGGAATATTTCAAAATGGTAATTTAAAGGCATTCAATAAAGTTAAATGTAACGTTGTGTGCTACTACACCTGGGATTTTGCAATTAACTGACTGTGTTTCATCCACTCACCTGAAAGTGTCTCCAATGCGGTCCTGAAAGAAGACAAATCCCTCGCTGTCTATCTTCAGAAGGTCCCCACTGTTAAAGTAGAGGTCTCCCTTAACAAACACATCCTTCAACTTCTTTTTCTCTGTCTGCTGATTGTTCCTGGCGTAGCCGCTGAACGGTGCCCTTTCTCCAATTTTTGCCACCAACAAACCGGTCTCTCCTGCGGGTAAAAGCCGTGAGCACGTGACATGTGTGTTAGGAAGAGCTGGAGGGGCGAGAGGTGGTTTCACTGTGGGAGGAGGTGGGCTCACCTCTGGGGACTTTAATACAAAACCCCCCGGAGTCTTTGACGGGCTCCTCTTTCTCTGTGTCGTACCGTATGAGGGCATACCGACCGCCCATCTGAAACACAGTTTGAGGATACAGTTTAGATAATAGTTTTTCATATAAATAATCTTGTTTTGTTATACGTCGAGTAGCTACAGTATCAATTGTAACAAAGTTACTTGTCTTGGTTGGGCAAAATAGTCCCGGCAACACTGCAAGGGTGTTATATGTTCATGTACAAAAAAAAACAACTTATTCACAAAAAAATTCTTACTTTGTGGAGAAAATTTTCTTTGCCAACAGCTCCAACTTTGCCGCAGTAGTTGACAAAGCCGACATTTCCTTCTGTCGCTCCGTAGCATTCACAGATGAAAATGTCCCCAAAACGTTGCAGGAAATCCACCCAGACGTCGGGCCTTATCCCTAACCCTAAAGCCAACCGAAGCCTGTGATCTCTGTCATTGTCTCTCTGGAGGAAAGCGAAGGACATCAAACATCACGTCATGTGAATTTTGGCTTTTGATTTCAAAGCAGTGGGTCTAAATGCTGCATTTCATTAGAACTGTGCATTTATTGATGGTAAAGCTTTAACACTGAGGTTTACCTTTGGCGTGTTGCAGAGGTAGCGCATAATCTCTCCTATGTACTGAAAAACAGTCACGTTGTACTTTCTACAGTCATTCCAGAACTGGGAGGCAGAGAATTTACGCTTTAAAACAACAGTGATACCTGAAATGAAGAAGCGCATATTTCAGAAACACAAAATGTCCCTCAGAGAGCCCAGGGATTGTCAGCACTTTGAAACATAAACACTGCGATATACGTGTCTTGTACCCGTTAGTTTAACCTTTGTAGTATTACGATACCTTTCTCTATGGCTCCACATAGTCCCACCTGAAAGCCAGCGCTGTGGTAAAGAGGCAGGTACACGTAGATGATATCATCTGACCGTATGCCAGCAATGTCCTGTAAAAAACTTGACTTCCATAATTTCTCGTGGTTGATAACAGCGGCCTTCGGAAGCCCTATAAGGAAACAGGCGTAAGCGTAGCTTTTACTGCCACCGGCTCTGCAGGTCAAGGCCGTCATGCTGTAAACACCAGTGCAGATTAGATGCGAAGGTCACGTTACCCGTGGTTCCTGAGGTGTAGATGTACAGCGCGGGACTCTTCATAGTAACGCTGGCCCTGAGCTGAGGGGACAGAGGCTGCTCCGAGGCATGCCGGATTTTATCGGAGAGGCTTTCTATGCCCTCCACGTCCGAGTCCTCACTGAGGATGAACACGCGGACGCCCTGCTGGCTCAAGGTGGGCAACACTTCCTCAACGGCCCCTCGCAGGTCTGAGAGATAAAAGAGAGCAAGTAAAGTCCTCGCGTAGGTCAGTGCAGCGGCAATAAAAATGTGCAAAGCCCAAACCCCGGCCGTTTGATGCCATTCAGAAATAGTGTGTCCATTCCATGGTTATTTTTAAAATTGTACATTTTTAGATGTCAGGGTTCCAGATTGTTTTCCCGTGTTTCCAGAATAAATGAAAACAATAGAACTTGAAACCCCAGTGTAGCTCTCATGTAATTTACTCATGAGACTGCCAATTTAAAAAAAATGAAAATGGACAATATGCATAAAAATGAAAAGTGTAGAAAACCTATTCGCAAAAAGTCCCCTTTGCCCCGCTTACCAGCACCAGCGACCACCACCTTGGCTTCACAGCAGGAGAAGCAGTGCAGCAAAGATTTGGATCTGATGTTGTGGTTCAGCAGGGAAGCGATGCATCCCAGCTTGGCCAGAGCGAGCCAGACCCACACAAACTGGGGCTCGTTGCCCAGGAAGAGCGCCACGGTGTCCCCCTCCTCCAGGTGCGCATGCGCGGCCAGAGCTCTGGCCACTTTGTTGCTCACCTTGTCCGCTTGGCTGTACGTGTAAGAGCTTTCCTCGAACAGGATGAAAGGCTTATGCGGCTGCCTCGCTGCATGGTCCAGAAAACGATCCAAGATGCTGTAAAACGGTTTCCGCTTTTTGAATTTTCTCAAACAAAGGGCTACTTTAATGGAGGAGATCGCGTAGCGTAAATCTTGCAAAAAGTATGGGTTTCTCAGGTAAAGAATAAATGGTAAAATGGCTAAACCCGTTAGAGCGCTATATAGCGTGTATGCAATCATTGTTGATCTGAAGATACGTGTCAGTCCGGGATCAATGCTGGAAGGTTCAACTTTACGACGCACCCCGAAGCCTTATGAAATCAATTCAGTGAACGCCTCTTGCACTTTGACGGAAACTCCCCCTCAATACAGACATACAGTTTAATGCGTCACAATTCCATACACACATGAGTAGAAATCCATAGCGGACTATTTTCCCTCTTGATCTTATTGAAACGTGTGTTTTGAATACGACTAATACTACTATATTGTCCGACACATCCTCTTCTACGTGGAGTTGGCACGCGCATGAGGAGGAGGGTCCACGGTTCATCCCCAGGGGGGGAAAAACACGCTTTTCAATCTCGGAGAAAAGAGAAAGTATTGCAAGTTTGATAAAAGCTATGTAATCAATAATTGCAGACAATAACTAGCCCAAGACGTTAATACCTTACCTCGAGGTGCAATAGTCCAATAGTTCTCTCAATAATTCCAAACTCTCTGACCTACGATGAACTCATCTAAAGGGCGGCTGAGGTGACGACGGAGATCCGAGCGCTGCTTTTGACTGTAGTTAGATGCACTTTTTCCAAAAGAAACCACGATTCCTTGCGATGGACGTTCAACGTGGGGCCACAGCTGGAAGGCTGAACATACATTTACACAGAAACAATCACGATTAAAGATAAAACTGATGGACACATCAAATCGGAGGATATATATTTATTCTTTCATCAATCAAATATATATATATTTTTTTGTTGAAGCTGTTTTTATAAAAAAAGTAGTGAATACATTTTTGAAGTGACCTTTCATCAGGGACAATATTTGTTGACTTTGTCATGGTAATGTGATATATTGCAGAAAAGTGCTGTCCCCATTCATGTTGACACCATGTGACGCCCTCACAGCCTCTCACCCTCAACCAATTAAAGGGGGACGTGAGCAGTGCCAAAGGGCTCAGGGCATTAGGCCACAGCTGCACATTCTTCTACAGCTTGTTTTCTCCGCTCTGCAAGTCTGGAGCTGAGTATCCAGAGTAGTGCAACTTTCCTATCTGGAAGTAGTCTGAGCTAAAGCACATGTACGTGCGTATTCACAGACAGAATGTGCTCTTGTCTCAGTACGGTGTCCTGGGGTTATTGAAATGCTGGTGCCCGCTGAGATGAGACATTATCATGTTTGGTCCAATTGTCCTGTTGAAACTGGTTCAGGACCTATGGGTGAGCGGAGTGGCCTTTGCGACTTCAAATCAACTCTAGGGGGCATCGTGGAGCTATTTTTATACTCAATGCGAGACCACTAAAATATCACATTTGCACCAGCCATAATACGCATGCTACCTTTGGTGAGATTTTCAGAATAAAAAACCCAAAGGTAAAAAATAATCAACGCTACAGTTTATATGGACTCATTGCCACACACAAGGCCTGTAGCTGACCACATGACACCAAGAAAGGTCTCTCATTAAGAAAGAATCATTTTGCACATAAACCCGCCTAATATTATGTCACCAAGGCAGCAACAGTAAAAACAAGAGAAAAAATAAAATTCATTGACCTTCAACAAGTAATCAAATTGAAAGAAGATTGACTTCATGTGAATGTCGACATGTTTTCCATCTAAAGCAGCAAACTGATCATGAAATAACCTTGTTGGAAAAACTGCAAATAATGTGTGTGTGTCATGAGATCAATAAGGCTAGACTACACAAGGAGGACGCTGGCCTCGGGACGGACGTTCTGTCCCGTGAGGGTAAACAATCCTCTGTACGTAACCATCCCTGTGTTTTGATGCCATACCTGCAGTATATATTCCTGCTCCAAAGATGAAAACCTTTGAGCAGGCTTGGCGCATGACTTGTTTGTGTGTCAACTGTGTCTCCTGTTTGCGAACATTAAATAACCTGTTTTGATGATTTTACGTCAGTGTCGAGTAAAAAATTTTCTGACATATTTGGTCCTTCGAGCCAGATCTCAACAACTCTTTTTTCCTCTCAAGTTTGGACCTGAAACCGTACTGGGGAGTCTGGGAGTCTTTTCCAATAAGTCCTCCGCCCCAAGTCTGTTACAGGATTGGTTTGGATAGGTGAGAGGCCAGGGTCTACTTGAGGTGGATGGGAGTGACGAGATAACTAGCGGACGGTGCTTTTTCTTCATTACAGGTAAAGCTTTCGAGGCAGTCTCTGGGTTTCGGGGGAAGGTTTTCTTTAGGACTCTCTTTGGGCATTTGGGAGGAGTAGTTTTGTCTATACAGGGGGTTCTTTTGGAAATGTTCTATGGTGATATAATTTCCCATAACCTGGCGCGAGTTGGCGCAGGACAGAGATACTGTGGTGCAATCTTCAGGGGGTTTTCTTGGAATCTTCTATAGTGTTTTTACCTTTTAGCCCGGCACGAATTGGTGCGGGGGCCTGGAGCCCGGGGTTGTTTCTGATAACCTTGACAGGTCTAAAAAACAGGAATCGGTTGTTCCGGGGTCCCGTGTCAGTAAGGCTAAAAGTGAGATCGGTGGGCTCTGAGCCGTGGGCCAAGGACAAGCGGAGGATGGTGGATCCTTTTCGGACAACAGGTCATATGTGTCACGGTGTGGTTCACTTCCTGTCTTATTTTGTAGTTTTCTGCCACTCGTGTCCCCGGGTAACTTCACTTCCTGCCTTGTCTCGTCATCCCCTGTGTTCGTCTAATAGTTTCCACCTGTGTCCAATCACCTGCACCTCCCTTGTGTATTTAAGCAGTGTGTCTCCAGTGTCACTTGTCGCGTCATTGTCTTTCGTCTTGGATCGCCGTAGTTTCTTGTCTGTGTGCGTTTGCCACCAGTTCCGGTGTTTTTTGATCCTTGTAACTATTAAAGTCTTTTGTTTGCCGCAAGTCTGCGTTTGAGTCCTGCCTTCCAACCTCACAACCCTGACAGAATGACGCGACCAAAAAAGGGCTCAGCAGACCCGCTGCCAGACTACGGTCCGGACTACCTGGACGTAAGGAGTCCCTTCTGGCAGCGGAAAACAAACTGTGTTTTTGGTCCCAGGAGCTATCAGCTCGCCTGCCTCGAGCTCCGGGACCTCCTTAACCCTAGGAGGAGCAAGCGGAAGAAGCGATCTCCCGTTCCCGCTGGGCCGCCGCAGCGATCTCCCGTTTCCGCTGGGCCGCCGCAGCGATCTCCCGTTCCCGCTGGGCCGCCGCAGCGATCTCCCGTTCCCGCTGGGCCGCCGCAGCGATCTCCCGTTTCCGCTGGGCCGCCGCAGCGATCTCCCGTTCCCGCTGGGCCGCCGCAGCGATCTCCCGTTCCCGCTGGGCCGCCGCAGCGATCTCCCGTTCCCGCTGGGCCGCCGCAGCGATCTCCCGTTCCCGCTGGGCCGCCGCAGCGATCTCCCGTTCCCGCTGGGCCGCCGCAGCGATCTCCCGTTCCCGCTGGGCCGCCGCAGCGATCTCCCGTTCCCGCTGGGCCGCCGCAGCGATCTCCCGTTCCCGCTGGGCCGCCGCGACTCTCACCCATGCCCCCGACCCGACCAGTACCGGCCCCACGCTCCATGCCCCCGACCCGGCCAGTACCGGGCCCCACGCTCCATGCTCTCTACCTGCCAGTATCTGCTCCCTCCTTCATGCCCCCGACCCGGCCCAGTACCGGTCCCACGCTCCATGCCCCCGACCCGGCCAGTACCGGCCCCACGATCCATGCCCCCAACTCGGCCAGTCCCCGCTCCGAGACTCAGGCTCCCTCCCTCCCATCCCATGGTCCTCTCCCACCCTCCCGTTGGTGATTTGAGGGCCGTCTGGGATCCGGCCCTTGAGGGGGGGGCTACGGGGTGGGTTATGGGGGGGGCTGAGCCGCCGCCGACTGCGGAGGTGTTCCGTGTCCCCGAGCCGGAGCAGACTGCGGAGGTGTTCCGTGTCCCCGAGCCGGAGCCGACTGCGGAGGTGTTCCGTGTCCCCGAGCCGGAGCCGACTGCGGAGGTGTTCCGTGTCCCCGAGCCGGCGCCGCCGTCTACCCCGGAGGTTTCCCGTGTCCCCGAGCCGGCGCCGCCGACTACCCCGGAGGTTTTCCGTGTCCCCGAGCCGGCGCCGCCGACTACCCCGGAGGTTTTCCGTGTCCCCGAGCCGGCGCCGCCGACTACCCCGGAGGTTTTCCGTGTCCCGAGTGGATCCGCCGACTACCCCGGAGTTTCCGTGTCCCGAGCCGGCTGCGCGACTACCCGGAGATCAGTGTCCCGAGCCGCGCCGCCGACTACGCTGAGTTCCGTTGTCAGAGCTGCCATTCCTGAGACGTTCGTGCCCTGTGTCACCGCTCCGAGCCGGCGAAAGGACCGCCTGCCGGGCGCCCGCCAGAGGCTCCCCGCTCGTCTGGCTGCTCGCCGGGCCGCCCGCCAGAGGCTCCCCGCCGCCGGGCCGCCCGCCAGAGTTTCCCGGGTGGTCCGACCAACGTCTCGGGTTTCCCTCCCCCCCTCCCCTTGTTTCGCTCTAGTGTGAGCCGCCTGGAAGTCGTCCCTTGAGGGGGGGGTACTGTCACGGTGTGGTTCACTTCCTGTCTTATTTTGTAGTTTTCTGCCACTCGTGTCCCCGGGTAACTTCACTTCCTGCCTTGTCTCGTCATCCCCTGTGTTCGTCTAATAGTTTCCACCTGTGTTCAATCACCTGCACCTCCCTTGTGTATTTAAGCAGTGTGTCTCCAGTGTCACTTGTCGCGTCATTGTCTTTCGTCTTGGATCGCCGTAGTTTCTTGTCTGTGTGCTTTTGCCACCAGTTCCGGTGTTTTTTGATCCTTGTGACTATTAAAGTCTTTTGTTTGCTGCAAGTCTGCGTTTGAGTCCTGCCTTCCAACCTCACAACCCTGACAATATGCAAACAAACACATAGGCTGATCGGGAACAGGAGAGAAGTAGCAAGTAATAAATTAACTTTGATGGACGAGGATGAGAGGCAATATTTATCTGTTATTTTAACCTCAAAATGATCGCATAAAGAAAATAAGTTAATAAATGTGTTTATTAATTAATAAAACGTCACTATTAGGGTGAGACTACAAATGAACGCCAGCACAAAGAATATCTGTTGGTGCAATTAATAATCATAGATCCAAAAACAGGTTTACAAACGAGA